GGACTAATGACCCCTGCTGTGGCCCTGGCCAGTCAGTAGAGACCACCACCCTGAAAGGACACAGCTGGAAAGCTGACGCATATTCTATTGGGTTCCCCCCCCCCCCGAGACCTCCAGATAAATTCCCACAAGATGGAGGGCCCAATGAGGCTATCTCTGTAGGGCAGTAATGGCGAACCTATGACACGCGAACTCATTTTTTTGGTTGATTTTTCTTTGTTAAATGGCATTTAAATATATAAAATAAATATCAAAAATGTTTTTGTTTTACTATAAAATAAATATCAAAAATGTTTTTGTGACACGGCACCAGAGTTAAGTTAGGGTTTTTCAAAATGCTGACACGCCGATCTCAAAAGGTTCGTCATCACTGCTATAGGGCATGCCCGAACCTTCCCCCACCCCTTACCTCCCTCTCTCTCTCTCTCTCCTCTCTCGCTCTTGTCTCTCTCTCATCTTCTATGCACCAAAGGCCTTTCTTTTTGCCTCTGTAACTTGTTATAGTTTTGAGTCTTGACTCTTGAATTCTCTCTTAGCCAGAACTCAAGTTCTGATGTTGCTGAACCAAGGTCCGATCTGAGGCCACCGGTTTAACACCTGGTGCCTTTTCGCCGCCAACATTTCCACTTATTTAGGTCTTTTTAATTTTTTTTTCAACAAAGTTAAGTAGTTCTCAGAGTACAAATCTTGCATTTGTTTTGTTAAATTTATTCTCTTTTTCTCAGTTTTATTGAGATATCATTGACATATCATTCTAAATATCTTTATAAATTATTCTTTTTGATGCTATGTAAACAGAATCATTTTATTTTCATTTTCCATAGTTCTTTGCTAGTGTAGAGAAATACAATCAATTTTTGTATTTTTTCAGCTTTATTGAGGTATAATTGGCAAACCTGTAAGATATTTAAAGTGTACCTCATGATTTGATATATGTACACATTTCGAAAGGATTCTTCCCATCTAGCTAATTAACACCCACACATTTATCTACTTAAAAATTTTTCATGAGAACATTTAAGTTCCACTCTTTAGCAAATTTAAACTATACAACCCAGTGTTATAGTCATTTTGTTATACATTAGATCCCCTGATTTTTGTCTATTTATCTTGTAGCCTGCACCTTTGCTGAACTTGTTGGTTTCAATATTTTTGGTATGAATTCCTTAATATTTTCTATACAAAAGATCATGTCGTCTGTGACTAGAGATAGTTTACTTCTTCCTCTCCAATGTGCTTTCGCGTCATCACATCTTCATGGATTTGCTCTGTGTAACTGCCTTGTTCAGTGGGGTCCCAGCACTGGCCCCTCCATATCCCTGGAAGTTTACATTTCACTGTGCCATCCATGCTCGTATATCCACTGTAGCTGCCTGTGAGTGGGAACCCTTCTCCTGCTAGATAAAACGTCAGTGCTCCAAAACACTGCACACTAGCTCTCAGGTGATCATTGGTTAGGCTTTAGGGGAGCTCCTGTCACAAAACTGTCCAAGTCTCTTGGCTTGAAATGCATTTTTTCTAGATTTTTGTGAAGGCATTTCAGAACAAGGAACATTTTATGTTTAGGCCACATGGGAGCAGGTTAAGGGAATTGTCATTCCTGCAGAAAGTGGGATTCTCCATTTAAGAAGTTCCTCAAGACAACATCAGGCAAATATCAGAAGGGACCAAGGGGATGGCCAAGGCACGGTGTTCTAGGTGGCACCATCTTGTCTGGGAGTCCACTATCCTATCATCCTATCAGCATCCCATGGAGCCAGACAGGCTGCAGGTGCCCCTAAATTCTATTCCACAAACCACATATAAACCTGAGGACACGTATAAAGTTCTGGGGGAAGAGGACATCTGTTTTGGTTTTGCTTTGTTTGGATGGATTGTCATCATTTTGCTGTGAACAAGTTAACACATTGTCACACCAACTTTTTCACTTTCAATTAAGTAAGAAGAGCAGAAGGACCAAGAGGCCTCAGCCCCAGGAATAAATAAGCCTGAGGGGAGGTTGGGAAAGCCATGGGGACACAGGGACTGGCATGGAGTAGCTGCTCAGGACATGGAGTAGGTACCTCTCACTGATTATCCATGAATGGGAGGCTGCTGTTGTGGTTCCCAGGGTCCTCCAGGCCTAATGGGTACTCCTAGGCTAGGAGGGGCTGCCTCTGGCATCTGAGGTGCCCTAGTGGGTTGTCCCCAGGAGTCGGCTTGCCTCCTTTCTGAACACTGACTATAGCTACAGGCTCAGAACAGCCAGCATGAGTTTTTCTAATTCACAGAACATTCCCCAAAGCTATGCACTCACTCGCCAATGTATGAGGGTGGTTTCATTGCACAGGAGAGATTGCCCAGGGCCACTGCAGCGCCCAGTGCAGCACCGCTGAGAGGGTGGGGGCTCTACCTGGGATGGGGGTGCTGGCAAGGGGAGGAAGGCTAGAAGCCAGGCAGGGCTGGAGTTGGCTACAGTCTGTGAGAGGGTCAGTGCTGGCAGCTGGTGAGCGGGCTACTGCTGGGAGCACTGGGGACAGAGCCTGGGAGAAAGTTCTCTAGACACAGACAGAGCAAGAGCCCCACCGGACCAGTGCCTTGCCATGCGGTGCCCAGGGCCCTCCCCTTCTCCATGGCTCCTGTTCCACTGCAGATCTCTATGCAAGACTGGCTTCTGTCACTCCCCAGGCAGCACTGCTCCAAAGCTGGAGTCAGGGGAAGGACAGTCTGCCTGGGAGTTGACAGTAGAATTCTCCCCACACGCCCCACCCTGGTTCTGCAGGGGCTTCATCCATGAGGTCCCCCAGGTGGGACCCACCCTTTGCAGCCACAGGAAATGGTTACTGGCTTCAAGAATGGGCCAGCGAGTGGGGGCCAGAGCCCGGGCAGGACCACCCTGGCATCAGCGTCTGGCTCTGAGAAGCAGTGGCCATTGAGGCAGGAGCTGGGCCGCCTCTAAGCCACATGGGCAGCCTGGGTCGGGGGTGAAGAGGCCGGCTCTGTTTGCTCAGGGCTGGCGGTCACCTTCGGGGCCTTTGCCTGTAGATGAAGACATTAGGTCAGGGCTCTGGCCAACAGCCTCCAAGTGCAGCAGCACCTGGTGGCGGAGCGGGCCCACCGCTCACCTCCTCATACTTGTTTGTCCAGTAGAAATGGGCTTCTCCATCCACGTACAGCAGCAGCAGGTCACAGAAGAAGGTGATCTGGGAGAGTCATGGTAGACCCGTGTCCCGGCCCCAGCCCGCCCTCCTGCCACCCTCCCCAACCTTCAACAGCAGGCAAAGGGGGCTCAGTGTGCATGCAGGCGGGTCTGGGCACGCGCAGTCTGCAGCCAGAGGGAGCCCACATTGGCCACACTCACCACGCCCAGCCAAGCTACTCCGGTGCCCAAAGTGATGGTCGTGGGGATGAGCCCAAACTTCCCTGCCTGAGAGAAACCTGGGCTGAGCCTCAGGCCATGATGGTCGCCTCCTTCCACCCCCGTTCCTCCTACCTGCCCAGTAACGATGACGTCAAAGCGAATCCCATAGAGTTTCAGCAGGCTCCGGGCCTCCACGCCTGAGGCTTCCCACCAGTGAGTGGCTGTCCTGCGGGCAAGAGAAAGTCTGGTGGCCTGCTCTGCCCACTCCCAGCTGGCTGGCCCTCCCAAGCTTCCATCTTGCTCATCCATTGACTCCAAATCCTGGGTCTCAGCTCTGTGTCGCTGCTGAGGACACAGGGGAAAAGCAAACCAGAACCTGCCTCTCAGAAGCTCCCTGCCCTCTGAGGGCACAGGGACGAGACAGAAGAGTCTCTAAACAGACATTGGCAGTGGGGGTGGGGGGTGGGGTGGGCGATGAGTGGGGTCAGGTCAGGGTTGTGAGCATCCAGAGGGTGGAACTCACTCTCCCCTAGGAAGCGGGGAAGGCTTCCTGCAGGCGAGACTTTCAGGCTGGGTTTTGGGGTTCAGGAAGGAGTTCTAGGCAGTGAACAATAGGGTGAACTCAGATGAAGACTATATATGTGTTCATGATATTAATCTTTGAACTTTTTCTATAGACTTAAGAAAATTTTTAAATAAAACCTTAAGGAAAAAGTAAAAAAGGAAGCCCCTCCCCCCTGTGCTGTGGAGGGGAGATGCTGAGGCAGGGTGGGGTGGAGGAAGGGCTAGAGGTGAGGGGTCCCAGTTATAACCCAGGTGTGGGGACAGATGGGGTGAAGGGGAAGAACTCAGGAGGGCAGCTGGACAGGGCCTGTTCTGGGGGACCTGGAGCTGAGAATACCCCCTCCTGCTCCTGGAACCGCCCTCTTACACAGAGCGGGGCATCCAGAGGCCTGGGCAGGGGTGGGGTCTGTCCTGACCTCCACAGGACAGGTGAAGGTGCACCTGGGTGAGGAGCAGCATGTGGGCACTGGGGGCGGGGGCAGTGGCACCTGAAATTGTAGCTCCTCTGCTGCAGCTGGAAGGAGTAGTGGGGTTGGCAGTCAGAGCCCCCGGTGTCCAGGTTGCAATCCCAGAGGACATGGATGCTTATAGCACCGCCCTGCACACAGCACATCAATGTTCCACTGTCACATGGGCTGGGACCCTCTCCCTGGGTCCTCCCAGAACCCTGCCCACCACAGACCCACCAGCAAGGCCAGGTCCTCAAAGACCCCTCCAGCTGCAGCCACGAGGTCCCCAATGCGGAACACCGGACAGCAGGGGCTGGAGTGGGGGTCATATCGGCAGCGCTTGAAATAGGTGTTGTCCCAGGTCTCCAAGGCGTTGGATCTGAGAGGGTGGGGGAGGGAAGGTTAGGCCAGGATGGTGATAAGGAGAGTCTGGGCCCGTCAGGACTCACCCATACTTACTTGGAGAAGTTGAACTTGCTGAAAGTGACGGTGTTTTTGATGAACAGTGTAAAGTTCTCGGCCTGGACCAGTAGGGGCTTCCTGTGGGGTGGGGGAGGTGAGGGGCAGGCTCTGCCAGTCCTGGCACCCTGCCTTGGGATTTGGGGGAGACTTACGTGGGCACAGTGTCGCTCTCCACTGGGCACCAACCCTGGATCTCACAGGTCCTGTGGGTCTCATTGAACACCACACACTGGCCTGTTTTTATGCCTTGAAAACATAAGACAGACTCTAGACCTGAGGTGGGGGATGGGTGGACAAGGGACTATTGACAAAACGGAGACACACAGAGGCACCACCAGGCCTGTACCCAGGAGCCACCCAGGGACACAGCCTGCCCCCCACCCCAGCCCCATTCCCAGTAGAGGCACTGGAAGACTGGGCCCATGGTTACCATGGCTGTGTGTCCCTGTCTCCCCTTCAGGACAGTCTTCGTGGGCCCAGCAGCTAGCCAGCGGGATGGAGGGGTGCTGAGGTGGGTGAGAGCAGAGCTGTCAAGGGCCCAGTGGATGATCCAGCCCTGCAGTCCACAGGGACCTGTCCCACCTGCCTTAGTGCCCCAGGGTTCTCTGAGTTTGGGGGCACATGGAGAGTTGGAGGGTGCAATTAAAAGGAAGTGGTCAGAGCAGGGAGGGCGAGCAGCCCCCAACCAGAGGGGTGCAGGTGCTGTATTCCAAAGCAAGGCAAGACTCCCTTCCTCTTGGTAGTTCTGTCCCTGGTGGGGACAGAAGTGGTTTAATAAGGCCCAACTCCTCTGATCCCAATTCAGATCACACAACAGGGAAGGTGGAGGGACCCTGGGAAGGGTAAGTTCATGCTGGAGTCACTGGGCGTGGCAGACAAAGGACAGACCCTAATCCAAGGGGCCTGGGTAGGGAAGTTGGACCTCACAGGCTAGACCCTTCCCTGCCTGTTCTTCAGTAAAACAGGGGCATTAATGCAGGCACACCGGCACAGAGTTGGGATCAGCCAGGAGGGGAAAGAGGTGAGCTTTCTTGGGGTCCCAGACTCTGGAGAGGAAGGTACCCTTGAGCATCAGGCACTTGCACAGACACGTTCTGCTGGGGCAGATGATGGACACCACTGTCAGGGCACCCAGCTCAGGGGCAGCAGGAAGAACAGTGTCAAGGAAGGGCTTGGGGATTCTGAGAAGCCAAAGGAGATGATGGGACTTTTGGGGGGTGGGACTGTGCTAAGTGGGCAGAGGACAGTGTGGGGCCACTTGTTCTGCCCCGTTGTCCCTAACTGTGTCCTGAGTCTGCCCCTCTCCTCCACCCTGGCTGGGCCACCATGTCCTCCAATTGGATCCCATGGTGACCACCACCGGGTCTTGCTCTGACCTCATCCACCTCCACCCAGGAACTGGAGTGGTCCATGCCATGTAGAGAGGGAGCGCCCCTCCCCAAGCCCTCCCTGGCTGCCTGCTGCTCCTGTGATTGAATTCACCTCCTTAGTTCACAGGGCCCCTGAGGTCTCGGGCCACCCCTTCCCACCCCAGGCCAAGTCTAGGCCCCAGACCCACTCAGCAGCAAATGACCCTGGAGCTCACTCACCTCACACAGCTCAGGTCCTTGCCCACACAGCCCTCTGACCCACCTGAGCCTCCAGTCCCACGGGAAACCCATCCTGAGGCCTCAGGCAGAAGCGCCTCCCCTGGCCTCCCAGCTGCAGCATCTGTCCCCATCACAGGGCAGCCACTTTGGCGGGGCTGTCTGTGCAGGAGTTTCTTGAAGTACAGGGGCAGAGCTTTTCAAGACCAGCACAGGGCCTGGCCTAGGGGGAGGTTTGGCAGGTGTTTGCTGAGGGAGCACAGTACATATGCTCGGAGGGACCAGATGGCCAGGACTCCTGAGAAGAGCTGGCAGGAACTCTGGCTCGTCTCAGGAAGCTGGGTTTTCAGATCAAATGAATGATCTGCCCTGGCAGTTTCTTAGGAAGGGCCAAACGCCAGGACATGGGCAAAGAGGAATCACACGGATTCCAGAAAACACAGAACCATGGCCGCAGCAAAAATCAGAATAGGTGATAAATTAAACATTAAATAGATGTCTTCTGAGCATCAGAGAGGGAAGGACATCGTGTGTGTTTCGCAAGCCTTAGCACATCCTTTATGCACGTGACTCCCCTTCTTTGAGAGCAGGGCCAGCCAGGGACACGTGGTACCCTCAGCAACTGTGGTGGGACCGACATCCAGGGGTCAAGGGACAGATGAGCACACAGTCCAGCAAGCAAGTCAACGTTGGACTCAATTAAAGGAAATTGTCACCATGGAGGTAGGTTTCCCGAGTTATGTCCTGAGTCCCAATTGTTTAAACAAAATTTATAGCTGGGGAACTGTACACTTAAAAATGGTTAAGATAAGCCCTGGCTGGTGTAGCTCAGTTGGTTGGGCATTATCATGTGCACAGAAGGATTGCAGATTCAATTTCTGGTCAGGGCATGAGCCTGAACTCATAAGCAAGAGTATGCTCTGCTTGCCCACAACAATGAAAACTGCCTGGGGACACCCCACTAGAGGCTGGGCACAGAGAAGGGGAGGTGATCTCCCAGCTTGGTTCTTGCTGTTAGAAACCACCTACGCATGGAGCCCAGCTCCTGGTGTCCCACTGACAATAGGGAAGTGCCCAGAGGCAGAATCAGGATGGGGTGGGGCCTGGATATCCCACAGAGAATGACGGTGGAAGGTTCTGGAAGCATACTTCCCAGAAGTCCAGAGTCCTGTCATCCACAGGCTGGGAGGAATTGCAGTAATTCCTACCAGGCAGGGTGCTTGTGAAAACTACGTGAAATGATTCACAGAAAATTCTTATCCCAGTGCCCGGAATACAATAATACATACTGAGCCCTCAGGCACCCTGGGAAGGAGAAGGGAGGACATGGCTGGGGACCCACGGCTGGAAGAGGAACTGGGAACCGCTGGAAGTCTCCGGAGCAACCTTACCTCTGGGCACCTGCCCTGAACTTGTTCTGGCGTCACAAGGAAGTTGGTCACCAAGAAGAACACATTCTCCCCCTAGAAGGCAATGTCAGGGTTCGCGACTTGGCCCCCTCAATGGGAGGGGACAGAAGCTGGCAGCCTGGTGTGTGAGGGAAGGAGCCCTGTGCCCAGGACAATGCCTCCAGGGAGGCACATTGAAGGAGAGATGGGAGGCTACCTGGGTTTCTGGCTATTTCTGAGCCCATGTCTGCCTCTTAGAGACAAGTGTATTTTTCATGTTCACGCTCATTCCCTTAACCAGAATTTTCTAGGAGCTCTTGTTTCCAGGCACTAAACATCTAGAACTGAGTTGGGCCGGGCACATGCCCAGCTGGTCAGAAGGCAGGCCCCTCATTGCACGCATGGCCAAGGGCCAGGGTAGCAGGTGGTGAGCTCTGCCTGGGCAGATGGTGGCCAAGGACAGGAAGAGTGGCCGGCACCCGTGTGCTGAGCATAAGCGCTCTGTGAATTTGGGAGAATGTACACCCAGGAAGGGGAGGCAAGGGCTGGGTAGAGATCTATGACAGCGGTCGGGACCTGGAGGGACTTGGTGGCTACCATGATGGACAGGGAGACTCCCCAGGGTGGGAAGCAAGGGCTGGCAAGCTCTGGTGATGTCACATGTGGAAGCTCAGCCTGGCTGCTGCGTGGGTGCACGTGGGACCCACTCGAAGACCACAGCCTCATCCAGGTGTGGCCTGAGCAGCAGTGAAAACTGTTCAGCGATGGACAGGCTGGGGTGGGGGCAGGAAGGGGTCAAGCTGCGTCCGGCTTTTGCACTGGTGGATGAAAAGAGGCCACTGGGGAGAGGGAGATGATTTTTCTTTGGACGTGGTGGGTGTGCACCCAGGAGGCAACTGTGCTCGGGGCAGGTGTCACCAGGGATGCAATTTGGGCATCAGCAGGAGAGAGGTGGAAGCGGACTGTGGACAATCTGGGTAGGAGAAGCGGCCAGAATGCAGTGTAGGAGGGGCAGCGGAGGAGGGCCTGACGGCAGCTACCCAGGTCAGGGAGGCAGGCATACAGGAAGTTTCAGGGCCTGGCCCCCCATGCCTTTCCCACCCCACCCTCAAGCTCAAGCTCAGTGTCAAGTTCCCAGACATTCCACTCTTCCAGATGCAGCCTTTGTACATGTACTGCCCCTGGCCTGGCTGCCTGAGCCCTCCTCTCAGTCACCTGGAAACCTCTTACACATCCCCATTGCCCTGTCCAGGTGCCTCTCCCCTGTAAGGCCCTTCCCGAGCCCAGCCCTGTGACAGCGCCAGCTGTCATCACCCCGTCCGGCACCACATGCCTCTCTTGCACACGTGGTCTCAGGTGTCAGCACCTGGCGACAGCACTGAGGCACCCACCTGCGCCGGCTTCACGAAGTCAGCCACATCCCACAGCCGACTCCCCAGCTCCTTGATCTGGGTCACAGAGACGCCTTTGAGTTTGGTGATAACGGAAATCTGGGGGTCCAGGTCCTGTTCCTGGTAGCCTTTCTTGACGAGGAGGGCCCACCTGGGGAGGAGCAATGGGCAGTAAGGTGTGTCCCTGGCACCCTGTAGCAGTGGCCGAGCTGGGCCCTACTTTCTCAGCCTCCTCCCTCACACCCTGTAGGCTCCCAGAACACCACTCAAGTCCCCTACTTCCTCTCCATGCTCATCCCCATCGCGCCCCCCGACCCCCACCCCGCAACACCCTGCACAGGCCAGAAGCACAGGCCATGCATCGGAGACCCAGTGCCCACATGGTGTCTCCTATTAGGCATTCATGGGCTTGGAGATGTCCCCTACCAATTCTCTCACCAGCCAAAACCCTCCCCCTGCCCCAGCTAGACCCAGCTTCCTCCTTAAAGATTCCCCTGACCGGGCCAGAACTGGTGAGTCAGGGGAATCTTAGTATTCTATCGGGGGCCTTAGTATTCTAGCTCTCACAAGTGTCAGGGGCTACATCCTGCCCTGCCCAGGGCCTCATGGGCAAGTGGTGGAGCCCATCCCACTCTGTGCCCAGAGCCCAACATGGGGCTAGGGACAAGGCTCAGGAAAAGAGGCAGGTGGGCACACGGCTTATTCTTGTACCCACTGGCCCCTATACAGACAGAAATCCTTCCTCTGCCTACCCACGACCCTGTCCCAACCTCCCCGGCCTCCACTACCACCAGCCCAGCCCCTGAAGAATCAAACCCTCAACCCTCAGCCCAGCAGGACAGTCATGGTCCTTCAGCCAATGTGGCCAGGAGCTGCTCTCTTACCCTACCACGTAGACCACAGCCCCGAGCTGCAGCAGCCTCTGCAGGACGCCCACCCGCCAGTTCCTGGTCATCACATACTTCTCAGTCTTGTAATCCAGAAGCCCCCAGTCTGCCAAGAGCCCTGGGGAGCCCATGCTCCCAGCTCCTGCTGGCTGCTGGGGCACATGAGTCAGCAGAGCAGCTGCAGTCACAGCTGAACAGGAGATAAAGCAGGAGCCCAAGAAGGACCTGGCCAGCAGCTATTAAAGGGACAGGATCCACTCGGGACAGGATCCAGCCTCCCCCTCACCTCCCAATCATGGGTTCAGTCCCAACCCCCAGCTGCCCTGGGCCTCTCCAGACGCCCTCTGACAGACCCTGGGCACACAGAAAGGAGCAGCCCCTGTCCCCTGCCCTCTGGCCTCACTTCCTTGGGTGATGAGGGGATGATTGATAGGTGGTATAGGTACCATGAGAGGTACTGGGGGTTGCAGGGGTCCAGAGGAAGGGCCAAGGAAAGCTTCAGAAAGAAGTGACCTCAGAACCCACACTTGAAGATTCTGAAGTTCAACAAAGTTGGGGAGGAACGTTCCTGGTGGAGGAAGCTGCAGATACGACCCTAGAGCATGAAAGAACTGGGACCCACAGAGAGCGTGACTGGCTCCAGAGAGGAGGGTGGCCAGGCTCTGCAAGGTTCCCCAAGCCTTCCTGTGTAATGCCCTCCTCACAAACTGCCCACATCTCCCAAGTGCAGGAACTAACAGCCCTGAGTCAGGAACCTCCCCCAGCTGTGGGAAGGGGGGGCGATGCTGCAACCCCGTGAGATGGCAGGGAGAAGCACCCGCAAAGCGCCCCCCATCCCCCCCCTGCACTCAGGTCTTGTCCACCTAGCTAAGAGCGGACTCAAGTTCACAGCAGACTAGAGGCGGTTTCTGCAGCAACCAACAACACCAGGTTGCCCGGGTGACTGCGTCGGTCTCTATTTGCTGCAACAGAAGCCTGTTCGCTGCACACCACATGCAATTGGTTGGTGAAGTTGGAGGGTCCGCCCAAATTCCCTGGCTAATGTCGTGGTGTGTAGTCCTGACATCGGTGCCGCAAATGCAAAATGGATGTAACCATGAGGGGTCCCTGCGAGAAGTCTGGGGAGAGTGAAGAACAGGAGAAAGAGGTGGCAGCGGCAGCTACGGCGGCTGGGCGTCCTGCAGGGGTCCCAGAGGCTGAGGATTCAGACTCAGATTCGGACTCTAACCTGGAGACGGAAGGTGCCTCGGGGCAGGGCCTGCTAGGCTGGTCTCACCTTTGGGGCTTCTGCGGCAGGAGTGGGAGGGACAGGCTGGGATCAAGTGGGCAGGGGCGCTTGTCCAGCAGAGCAGGGAGCTCAGCCCTCCGTGGGACCCCTTCAGCATAGCCGGTGGTGGCAACTCCCTGTGCCTTCCCTACAATGCTCCTGGGGCATCAGAAGCTCCGCTATTAGAACACACTGCAGAGTGAAATGCTGGGCGGTGACAGAGGACAGGGGAACCCTTGGAAGGTGGCTTGGCTAGCTGTGCCTGAAGAGGGATCCACATTCTTCTCTCTCTCCTACTAGGCACCCATGGGCTCAGAGAACTGGTCAAGGACACCCTCTACCTGAGGTCTTGCCGGGCCCACGGTGCCGTGCCCGTTTCCTGCTTTCTGCGCCAAGGGAGAGCCCCAGACCTGAATCTGCGGCACCGTGGCCTGGGGCCCCAGGTACCCCTGGAGGGACCTTGGGGCCAGGCTTGTAGGGACAGGACCTGGGAGGCAGCAGCCATGGGTGTAGCCCCTTCCTGAGCCTGTCCCAGGCATGTCCCACCCAGGTGGGTGACAAATGGGATCAGGGCTTTGAAAGAATTCAATCAGGGCTGGGGAGCCTGCAGTGGGCACCTAACCTGCTGGAGGGGGGAATCAGGAAAGGCTCCAGAAGGTGGGATCTAGGTGGAGCCTAGAACAGGAAGCAGGGTTCCCCTGGGCACGTGGAAAAGGGAGGGCCTTCCAGCTGGAAGGCACCAAGTAGGCTGAGCCCTGGAAACATGAGCAAAGGTAGCAGCTATCTATGTCTGGGGCCTTCAGCCCGGGGAAGGATCAGGCCTTTCAGGCCCCTCTCTGTCCTAGGGGGCCCGGGCTCTGGCTCCTGCACTAGCCTCCAATCCCTATGTCAAGCGGCTGGACCTTCGGGACAACGGGCTCCGTGGGGCTGGCGCAAAGGCCCTGGCGCACGCCCTGAGCAAAAGCAGCAGCATCTGTGGTAGGTGGGCAGGCTTGAGTCCTCCCTTTTCTGAGGGGTGTACCTGCCCCCAGAGCTTCTCACCTGGGACCTGCTGGTGTTGCTGGGGAGGGGACCTCATCACAAGGTTGGAATTAGACCTTCTGTGGTTCACCCAAAGCTGATGCCACTCCTTTCCTGACCAACCCCATGCCACCCACTCACCTCCTCTCCTGGCCAGCACACTCTTCATATGGTGGCCTCCCAGTGCCTGAGTGCAGGTGGGACAGTCCTTTGACACACAGGTAGGGACTAGGCAGGGTGAGAGGAAGGAGGGTTGGGTGGGTGTTTTGTGGGACTGGATCCAAATGCTGCCTCTGCCATTAATAAGAAGGGTGACCCTGGGCAAGAAGCTCAACCTTGTTGAGCCTCAATTTACAACCTGTGAAATGGCACAACAATACCACTTAGACTTTGGAGATGTGGTGAGAATCAGTGAAACTGCATGTGGCCCACATAAGTGATGAATGTCTGGCCCACATAGGTGCTCTGAGCATGGCCACTTAGACTATAATTGTCAGTCCCCAGAAATATGGCAGTGAGAACTTCTGTGTGTGTGTCAGGGGGCGGGAGGGGGGGCTTGTATTACTACCAGGCTCAAATGATCAACAGGGTGGCCACATCTCCATCATGAGCATTCTCCATAGCAACAGGAAGTAGGTGGTTTTAGCTCCTTGACAAAGAAGCTCATGGACACATGGGGTGGAAATAGGCATCAGGGAAGCTACCCGGGGCCTGAGAAAATCCATCTGCCCATCTGATAGGTGCCGGAGTCGCCATGCATAGCCGTAGCGACTCCCTGGACAGTACGGCTACAAAGCCCCTTTGCCACCTCAGACCTGGAAGTTTAGGGGATGAAATAGGGTGGAGGAGGATGGTGCCTGGCTTTGAATTCCACTGACAGGAGTGGTGCCAACCCCCAGATGTGGACCTGTCGGAGAACCAGCTGGGAGCGGTGGGAGCCCAGGCCATCTGCGCTGCCCTCATGGCAAACCCTGCCATACAGAAGGTACAGCTGGCAGGGAACAGCCTGGAGGAGCAGGCAGCCCAGTACCTTGCTGAACTGCTGCTGGCCCACACGGGCCTGAAGTCCCTGGACCTGAGCTATAACCAGCTAAATGACCAAGCAGGTAATACCCGGCCAAGGCCACCATGAGACACTTGAGCTCCTCTTCCTGGGGCAGAGGTGGGTGGAAGTTGGCAGGACCCATATGAGCATCCATGCTCTGGCTCCTGCTCCCCAGGTCCCACAGAGACCTGCCCCTCTCCCACTCCTTCCACACAGGACTCTTAATCCGCTCCACGAATATCTCACTGCTTGCTGCTACGTGTGTTGGGAGCTGATTGGGCCACTAAGAATCTAGCCATGAACAAAACAAAGGCCCTGGCCTCAAGGGACACGTATTAACAAGATAACTTTCCATAATTATTGGTGCTACAAAAGAAACAAACAGGGCATGATTCTAGAGAAAAATGGGAACCACCCATTAGAGGGGTGGCCGAGGTGGCCTCTGTGCAGAGATGACATTTAAATCGAAATGAGCAGGGTGGGGAGGAATCAGCCATGGAAAGGTCAGAGGGAGAGGATTTCACGCAGAGAGACAATAAACATGAGGCTATTACCCAGACTGGCAGACATCAGGGAGCCAGGGGAGAGTGGCTAGGCCATGGGATAGAGAGGCAACAGGGGGCTGAAGGGCTACAAAACATGGCAAAAGGCATGAAGATTTTATTCTAAGTGCTGTGGAAGGCATCAGTGAGATAGATTCCTTGGCCTTACTACTTTCTCTCATGCTCCAGGGCCATTGCATGGTCTGTCCGCTTTGCCAAGAACATGGCATTTGACCTGCCTGCCCCCAATCACTCCAATAAATTATAAGAATCCCCTGGGACCCTGGGTTAGGAATACAGATCCCTGGGCAGTCTTTACTGGAAGACCAGGAGATTTGTCTGCTCCAGAAAGTCTGGGAATCACTGCTCTGTCTCAAGCTGCTTAGAGTGAGTGGGGTGGCACAGCCTTGGCCTGTGAGAAACAGCCCTAGAATTTAACGGCCAGAATGTCAGTTTGCCTTCTAAGAAAATTATTGTGAGACGCCAGTGACAAACTTTCAACAAACTAAATATAGGCATCCCTCTGGGCCTGCACGGTCAGAGGGCAAGCACCAGAAAGGTGGCCAGGATGGAGGGGGCTGGAAGCTAAGGCACTGCAAAGGCTACACAAATTTGGAGCTGGGTCCCCAGCTTGGAAGAGGACAGGCATAGTGGGGTCATTTGTTGCCCTAAGAAAGGATCTGACTCCCTTGAAGGGTGAAGGAGCTTGGGCCTCAGTCTCCTCACATGACCCATGGTAATGGTCGCATTGGAACTACAAGAAGTCAATTCATACATGGGTATAGAAGAAACTTCTCACCCCCCAGCTGTTCAACACAGTAGGGGCTTCCCTACAACATGAGGGACCACTGCCCTCTCCTCCCAGCCCTGGAAGTATCTGAAGAAGAGGAAAGTACTGTAGCTGAGAACCCACATACCTGCAGGAGTCAAACCCAGTCCTGGGTGGGGTCTGGAACCCCAGCACACATAGTACAGGGAGTCTCTGCTGTCTCTCAGTTGCTCTCCAGGGTGCTACAGGGTCTGTTGGCCAGTGTTCTGGCTGAGTACTCTGCTCAGTTCATCTTTTTTCATCTGTGCATTTCTTCAACCCAGCCTTACTAGACCTGTGGGGACCATGGAGAGGGGTCAAATTAAGATCCCTGTGGGACTCCCAAGCTGATGGGGGAGACACACTAGGCAGAGAGCCTGGAAGGATGAAAGCTGTCAACACGAGGCCCAAGGTGGCCCAGCCCAGTGGGCAGGAAAGGCTTTCTAATGCTAAGAGCTCAGGTTAGAAGGATGAGGAGCTGTTAGCCAGGTGAAGAGGGAGC